CTCGCTATCTAAGGAATTTCCACTTTGGCGCTGAGAGACGAGTGCGCTGCGGCCGCTGTAAGCTGAAAATATCGTCGAAGGTGCTTATTGCCTATCTGTGTACGAATTGGGTGATTTACAAGACAAACACAAAATACCGTGCTAGGGGGCGTGGGGAACGAGACGGAGTCACTCTGCCCAGCTGCCTCAATTTGAATGTTGAAAGGACGAGAAAGTTTGTTATTGCCCACCATAGAATCTTGTCTCCGCTTGAATTCATAAGAGTTCCGCTACTCCAGTTAAAAACTGATTCATAGTAATAACGTGCCGCGCTTTTCTGCACGATACGCCTCGCGAACCAGCGCGACAAATCCTGATTGTCTTGTTCGTATATGACGGACGGATATGTCAACGGTCCTGTGACTGTAGCACAGGCGTGATACGTTGAGCCATTCTGTGGAGATCGACCCGCCATCTCTCTCATCCTCATGTTCATTTAGCCCTAGTCTCCTGTTCGCGTAGCAGTGTCCTTTTTTCTTGGGACAATTGTTCAACCCTAGATCCTTATGTAGAACGTCTTCTAGCGCTTGCCCACTTTTTTCTTTGGTAATCCAGCGTTGAGACTTCGCGACGGCAGTGCTTCGGTCGCGGATTCTGAACGCTTCAGTCTGGTTGGTTCAGTCGCGCATTCGACACGATCGATGCTTATGCATTTGACTGCATCGATCATGTCGAACGCGCGACTGAAGCGCTGCCGCCGTCGCCAAGTCTGACCGCTGCCTAACCGCCGCTGCCCTGAGTACGCGTTGCTGAATTCATATTCAAGCCCCAGTGCTCACGAATTATGAAGAAGTGTCGTCAGTGTATAGATACGTGGTGTTCCGCAGCGTACGTATTTAGATATTAAATTAAGACTAATTTCCAAGAGTTCTTCATAATGAAGGCTTCTAAATTTATCGATTGCTGAACAGGTTTTTCCAATGAGACCCAGAGGGGTTGATTCAGTCTTTTACAGTTCTTTTTTTTACAAAATCTACCACCAAAACAGGATTAGTGATCTACTGATGCATGATATCAGTAATTTTTTACAGTTTTCGAGTATGGTGACGATGTGGCCACTTATTATCGTGATCAGAGAGTGTTATTAATTTGTAATCACCAAAGCACAGCCGATGTCCCTACATTAATGGCGTGTTTACAGAGCAAAGGTGTCGCAAGCAGAAAGGCAAGTATTTTTCTATCATTGGCGGCTTTTAATATAATGACATCCAGTCTGTTCTGCAAGTGGAATCTGTTTAAAAACCACAGCGTTCAGACTTCACAATGGCAGCGCTTCGGTCGCGCATTCGACGCTATCGATGCGTATGCTTTCGACAGCATCGATAGCGTCGAAAGCGCGACCGAAGCCATCGCGAAGTCTGAACGCTACCTGATGCAGCTCAACTACAGGTGCATCTTTGGCATTTCCGGAGATTACGGGCTCCCAGCTCTCGAAGCGTAGTATTTCATTTCCCCGTGCGCATATGCGCGGGGATGGGCATCCAGGACCGTGGGATGAGCTAATTCCTCCATATCCGTCTAAAATGCAATGTGCGTGCAGACACGCTGCCACTACGCTATTCCGATCCTACCTTACTTGACCAGCCGCGCGCATGGCGAGTCGCGCGCGGCCCTCCTTACACTTGCCAAGTATTGTAGCTTGTGCTTGTGAACGCGACTGATATGTAACTCCCTGTTACGGATGGCATCTGAGGCGTCGTTTATGCTGCAAACTCTGAGTCAGATGATCGGCGCAGCGCGCGCGACACGTGTCATGCAGACGGCTGATATGCTGTAGATAGGACTGAATAAGCTAGCGCGCAGGTTCCGTTTCAGGCGGAGTAGGGAGGAAATTAGCCTGATCCGACAAAGATATGCTATACCCTCACCTCCTATAACGGTCCTTCCACGTACCCAGTGAATGGGTCTGTAGCTGCAGTAGTATGCGATTTTCTTTGCTCAAAATAAACGATAACGGGATTCGAGGGTGCTGATACTTGAATGCTGTCTCCGTATCTGTCCATACTCCCACCCCCGCGCTGTGCTCAAGGTGCAGCGGCGGGGTCCGCTCTTCTAATGTGATGACGCCACTTTTCCCGGTCAAATGCCTGATCGGGGTGAATTCCAGCTATTTTCAAGTCTGTATGCAACGTATCGAGCCAGCGCTGTCTGGGACGTCCCCTAGGTCGCTTTCCGGGCACCTCAAGCTGAAGGCCAGTCCTACAGACGGTGTCAGCCTTTGCGCGAAGTACATGGCCGTACCATCGAAGGCGCGTTTCTCGCATTTTGTCAGCTATAGGAGCTACGCCGAACTTCTTGCGTATTACTTCGTTACAAATGCGGTCCAAACGCGTGACGCCCGCAGTCCAACGCAACATTCTCGTCTCCATCACACTTAGACGGGCTTCGACTTCTTTGGTAGCGGGCCAGCACTCGGCGCCATATAGGGCGACTGGTCGAACGACACTTCTGTAGATCTTCGACTTTAGCCGTTCTGACATCTTCCTGTCGCAGAGGATCCCCGACATGCATCGCCATTTTGCCCACGCTGCACTCACCCGTGCGCTCACCTCCGCTTGAGATCTCCATGGACGCAATTGCTGATCCCAAATACTTGAAAACAACAACGACAACAAAAAGGAGTGGGGAGAGAGCGGAGCCTTGATGTACCCCAACGGTGATGGGAAACTCCATCGAGGTGCCTGCAAGAGTGGTAACGAAACGTGTCTGCGGTAGAAAACAACCAAAATGGGAAGAGCGCCGACAAGCAGCGCGTTTGTTCACGGTTAGGTTTGTGGCTGGCCTTGCAGCAGCGCACGGTGTTTGCAATAGGCTTGCACTTGGCCATGCCCTCCAGTCCCGCTTGTTTGCATTTTTCATTGGATAAAGTGGTATATTGCTGCAGCGACAAACCCATTCACCTCAATCAGGATTCACGAAGGTGAGTGTTTAGTTTGTCCTTGATTTTTGTCACTATATTTTTCTTGGACAACACTTCATTTGCGCTTCCTTGTTGAGTGTTTATGAACTGTCTACTTCTTATTTAATCTATACACTTGTTTTAGACGCTATGGTTGATGGACGTGATGTTTCGATGGAGTCCGTTTGGGATCATCGGTAACAACCACGGAGATTACTTCATTATGCAAGGCAAAGCCACTAGGGAAAAGGAAATTTTGAGGTGATTCTGGAGAAAATTCGAAACGGCTAATTTTTTAAAGTTTCATGATTGATCTATTCACGTAAAGAACTACTTTTACGTACTACTGGTCAAATCTCTGCTGAACGGCAACCTTAATTTTCCATAGTCACTTCACAGGTGCGGGGAATGCATAAACTGGGGGAAACCTAAAGGATTGAATGGGAATCGATCGGCTTCTTCCACTACGGAGTTGTTAGAGAATGCATATGCGACTAGAAAATGCACGAAATCGGAAAATTGTCGAGACCTATCAGCTGCCGCTGCCTTGTGCGTTCATTCCTTGCGTCAGAGTTTTCAACGTACGGCACCGTTTTGGGCGTGCCTAGATATCCGGTACTTTTACTTCGTAGTTGTTCAATACGCTAAGTCAGCAGCTGTGGCAGCGTTCAGACTTCGCAACGGCAGGGTTTAGGTCGCACGTTCACCGCGATCGATGCGCATGCTTTCGACTACGATCTCGACTTCGACTCGATCGAGTCAAACGCGCGACCGAAGT